TTTCATCCTTTTTCATGTGATTGCCATGGTCACACACACCCAGCTAAGATGGCAAATATAAAAAGTTAATTATGAAGAAGCCCCACACAGATGTTGCTGTTGTTTGTCTGCATGTTTTCACTGAAGACATGCAGACACACTGTTCACCACAATCTCTTCATGTGTTTTCAGGGTCAACCACCTGCACTATCCCCCTGATGGGTATGAAGAGGACCCTGAAGTGATTGGCTATGAAGATGGAGATTATGGGCATGACTACCATGGTGACAACAGGTATGTTCAAGGATGTGTTAAATCAGCTGTCTGTCGTCCCTGCCACATGGCTTGTGGGTGTTTCCTCCAAATGTAAACACAAAAAAATCTTAAAATATCACCCACAGTGCGTGTGGCGTGAGGTAAGCAGCAATTATTATTTATATATGAAAACTGTTACATAGATGGTCATTTAGACTGTACTCTGTGTGTGTGCGTGTCACTTCATAGACAAGATTAAGTGTCATTTCCTCAAAGTGATTTCCTGTTTGGATGGTAAGATGTATTGTATGGATATTGTGTTATGAAAGAAATGAGAAAATGAGAAAATATACACTTATCATTCCTGTTATCGGTAAAGCATCGGCAAATAACTGTAATCAGAAATTGAAAACTGGAGATGATTATAATAGCAATCGCTTGTAAATGATTTATGCTCCCCCTAACTCTCTTGATGCGGCCAATTCAGGGTGAAGAGGAAATCAAGCAGCTCACATTCCCCTCGTCCAAAGAAAAGGAAGAAGAAGAAATCTGGCCGTCGAAGGAGTCGGTGAGTGGAATAGAATAGAGTAGAATAGCCTTTATTGTCATTGTACAGAGTACAACGAAATTGGAGTGCCACTCCCTTGGTGCAAGTTTCAATAATAAATATAAATGTAAAATATAAAAAGTACAAAAAAAAAACAATCGTAAGTACTCAAACAATAGTATGTACAATATATACAGGATAGCAGCATTAATATAATGACAGTATGAATAGCAGCATAATATAATGACAGTGACGGTATGGAATAGGTTCAATTGTTTTTGTGCTTATTTACTACGGTGATAGCTCTGGGAAAGAAGCTATCCCTGAATCTGTTTGTCCTGGTTTTATGTGACCTGTACCGTCGGCCTGACGGTAATAGTTCAAACAGTTGGTTGCTGGGGTGAGAGTGGTCCTTGATGATATTGCCAGCTCTGCTGAGGTACCGAGAGTTTGCAGTGACCTCCAGGCTGGGCAGAGAGCAGCCAGTGATCTTCTGGGCTGTGTTGATGACCCTCTGCAGTACTTTCCTGTCCGCAGCTGAGCACCCTGCATACCATGTTGTTATGCCGTACGTTAGGATGCTCTCTATGGTGGCTCTGTAAAATGTCACCAGCAGCCTCTCCTCCAGGTTGTTCCTCCTGAGCACTCTCAGAAAGTGGAGACGCTGCTGGGCCTTTTTAACCACCGCCGTGGTATTTGCAGTCCAGGAGAGGTCATCAGAGATCTGCACGCCCAGAAACCTCATGGAGTGTACCCTCTCCACACAGTTCCCGTGAATGTAAAGTGGGGCCGGGTCTGCTCTGCCCTTCCTGAAGTCCAAGATAAGTTCTTTAGTTTTCGTGGTGTTCAGTTGGAGGTTGTTAACTGAACACCACTCAGTCAGTCTGTTGACCTCATCTCTGTAGTCCGACTCATCCCCCCTTGAGATGAGTCCAACCACTGTGGTGTCATCCGCGAACTTTATGATGGTGTTTGAGAGATGGGTAGGGGAGCAGTCGGATGTGTAGAGCGTAAACAGGAGGGGACTCAAAACACATCCTTGTGGAGACCCGGTGCTGAGTGTGATGGTGCTGGACGGTGGGGGCCGAGTCTGACAGACTGTGGTCTATTTGTCAGGAAGTCCTTGATCCAGAGGCAGATGGGGGTGGAGAGTCCCAGGTGAGACAGTTTCTGGACCAGGATCTCCGGGATGATATGATTGAATGCTGAGCTAAAGTCCAGGAAGAGCATTCTCACATAGCTTCATCAGTCCTAGATTTCGCCTGGTTATTGCTTCTGTAGTTGGTAATGTGATTGATCCCCTGCCACATTTTTCTAGGGTCGTTGTCAGCAAAGTGATCTTCAATCCTCCTCCTATAGGCAGCCTTAGCTTTACTGATGGAAACAGCTTCCACTGATCGCTGATGAAGTGGTTCGATTTTTCCTCTGTTTTCCTTTTTTTTTCTCCTTTCGCCAGCTCCGCTGACAGAATAATTACACTGGTGGTTTTGTAAAACGGAATTCCAATTATTTTGGTGTGAGTATCACAAATGAGCCATCAGATACCGCGACTGTGCATGGGGGTGGGGAGCCATTAGCAAAGCATACCCTCATCTCCCATTTTCTTTTGACAAGGTCAGGAAAAGAGGGGGAGCAAGATTGAAAAGAAGAGACACAGAGGCATTAGAGAGCAGCCACAATAAAAGGAGAAAGGCAGAGGGATGAATAGAGCTGAGAGAGAAATCAGCTGAGCCACTATAAGATGATACCTTTGCTCATAATGACCCTATCTGAGGGGTAATGTAATGCAGTTGAGTGAAAAGCCACAGTTTAACATCTATCTGAGGTTCACTTAGCAGTCACGTCATGTATCCTTCTCTCTATCAACAGGTTTGGCAGCTTCTCACCCACTCACAGAGAGAAGAAGAAAAAGAGTGGGAAGAAACACAAGCGAGACCGGTGAGTGCGCACATGCACGCGCACGTGTGTGTGTGTGTTTGCGTGTGTGTGCAAAGGTAAAGAATCTGGATTTTGAAGGCTTTGATCAACAGTTCGCCTTGTGATGAAGCATTTTCAGCACTGTAGTTCATTTATCCGAAATATTAAAGGAAAAGGGAAAGGTGAAAATGAGGCTTGGAAGAGACCCCAAAAGCAAGCGCTCATCAACAAAAACTCTAGGTGCCTTGGGATATCATAACAGCAATAAGCAGTGGTAGAGTGGCCTCTTCCTCCTCTGTTTTCCCTCATTCTCTGCCTGACTCAAGGGGAAATGGGCTAAATGTGTTGCTCTAATAACCCAGTCTGTATGACGGGGCGCACAACTCAAGAAAAATGAGCCTCTTACTAAATTGCTGAGCATCACTGCGCTGCCCTGGTCTGCTTTCCCTCCTCCATCCATCCACTCTCATCCCATTTCCCCCATGTCCTCTCTACTCATTGCCGCGCCTCCGTTTCAGCCTCACAGCAAGGATGTTCTGCATTGCAGGTGCTGCTGATATCAGAATGCCTAGAACAAGGAAGCAGGAGGGCGACATACAACGTTCCTCCAAAGAGACATCCTCCTCTGATGCTCTTCTTTAAGATGCAGATTAGGAAGGGGAGGGGGGAGATTATACGCAGTCCTGTCCTGCTAACATTTCGCTGGTCTTTGTTTCTTTAAAATAGCAGCGGGTTGATCTCAGGCCATTTGGGTGCATATTTGTCTCATAGCTATACTGTTTATGCCCTTGTGATAAACGTTGTGCCGTGGCGAGGGATTCAGCTGTCACCAGAGCTTGTGACAGAGGAGGAGAAGAATGTCCTCTCCAGAATAACACCTCATACACAACAGTCCCTACCTGAGGCCCTTCGGTGGGGAAGCATGGGTTGTCACAAGGGCCACAGCTCTCAGTCACATACCAGCCACATTTATTACTGTGACAGCTTTATTACTCCTCCTTTTTCAGAGCATCAACAAAGTGCTCCCTCCCACTCTGTGCTGCATGCTGTAGGTGTGTAAAACAGCATGGAAGATGTAGGGCTCTTCAGGAAAATAACTTGCACAGGCCGGCCTGAGTAATCACCATGGAAACTGCAATGAGGGTGAAAAGTGATAGGAAGGTGATGTGTCAGTCCTGTGCTGAAGACTGAGGAATAGCCCATATCCTGCTTATTATGTTAAAGGGGCTTGGCCAATAAGTGTGGCTTTATTGTAGGGAGCAGCATGTTCTACTAAGTGTGATGACCAACACATGTAAAGTACAGCACTGCTGTTAGAGCTCCCTGCAGATGTTGCTGCACATATAGATGCATGTGATTCAGAGTGCATTGTTTGCTGAAATATCCCACCCCTTACCTTCCAGGAACATTTCTTACAGTCTTTTTGTCATGTTTCGGCTGTGTGGCAGGCAGGAGAGGACCCAAACGCAAACTCACGGAGACAAAACGTAAACTCAAAAACACAGCTTTAATGCTGGCAAAAAAGAGAACTATTGCTAACTTTTCTGTTAAGTTAAGGCCTGATCCTTCTGAAATTCATAGCCAGTGCTCTGACACGGTGTCATCAATCTTTGAATGCTGAAAAAGCACAGTGTATCCAGAAAAACACATTATATTATATAAATTATTATAAAATTTGTGTCGCCTAACTTTTGTGCCGGTACGCCTAACTTTAATGGCTACCGTAGCATGGCAAAAAGTTAGTCTAGAGCCCTGTAAAGAGTCATGTTAGCCTGGTCTGTATCAACTTTACCAACAAAAGTGTCACGATCCTGGGTCTTAGGACCCAGTGTTTTGAGTTTTAGTTAATCTTAATGTGTATAGTATGTTAAGCTCATTAGGCCTCCTATGTTCATTTGCTTATTAGTTCCCCCTTGTGTTTCCAACCCATGTTAAGTCTCCCCTGCCCTTCATGTCTCTCTGTGCCCCCTCTGTTCTGTTTATTGTGTGTCTTTGCATGTTTGAGTTTCTTGTTTTCTGTCACCCTGCATTGTGCATTATGTTCTCATGGTTGGTCTTTTGTTACTCCCTCTAGTCTAGTCTCTTGTGTTCAAAGCTGAGTATTTCCCTCTGTGTATTTTGGTTCTTAGACCTCTGCCTTATGGTTTGTCTCTGTTTCTTAGTTGCTGTCTCCACTGTCTAGTTCGCGTCTCTGTGTGATACTTCCTGTTTTACTTTGAAGGTCCATGCCTCATGTGAGTGTTTCTAGTTTTGCGTCTCTGTCTCGTCCAGTCCTGATTTCTCCCAGCTGTGCCCTCCTTCTGTGTCTCATTCCCTCGTTATCCCTCTGTGTATTTAAGCCCTGTGTTTCTCTTTGTCAGTGTCGTAGTCTCCCTCATAGCTGTGTGATTTTTCCCTGTGGCTCCTCGTGCTTTAGTCTCCCCAGTTTAAGTTTAGTACTGTTTTTGTGTTTCACCTTTTGCCAGCATTAAAGCTGTGTTTTTGAGTTTACGTTTTGTCTCCGTGAGTTTGCGTTTGGGTCCTCTCCTGCCTGCCACACAGCCGAAACATGACAGAAGACTACGACCAGACAATGGACCCAGCAGCTCACAATCCCTCCGCTGAGCTCCAGGAGGACATGATCTACACGGTAGAATTTCTCTGCCAGGAGTGGTTTGCGCTGCCATTTAAGGAATACCAGGAGGAACTAGCTCTCCGCTTACAACGGATGATCTCTGGACTCCCCTGGTTATTTGGCATGCTCCACCCTTTAATCCAGGACTTCCTTGTTTCTACTGTGCGTGTCTGCCCTGAGCAGCCACTCCTGTGTGAAGAGCCGGAGGATTTTCAGACGAGTCCGCTTGAGGATTTGCGGGCCGACTCGTCTCCTCCCTCTTCCAGGAGAAAGCGGCATTCACGCCGCCATCGCTCCACAGCAGCTGAGCAGACCATTTTTGTGAGTAAAAGTGACTGTTTGCCACATTCTGACTCCAAACCTTCTGCCATTTCATCCACTGTTAGTCATGCTGCTCCTATGAACACTTTAGTTTTTCAACCAGCTCCTCCGAACCTTCATGATTCCAATCCTGTGTCTGAGACTCCACGTGACGCTCTTCCAGTATCTCAGGCAGTTATTTTTTCCGTGCCCCAGCTGGGAGGTGTAAACAGTAACAGAGTGCCTCCCACCATAGTTAAACTGGCTAGAAGACTTGGACTTGATGCCACTGAGCTCATGAATCAAGTTGAATTTTGTGTTCCACAGCCAGCCATGTTCAAACACACTCACCATGTTTTAGAGTCAGACCAAGTTCAACCTGCACCTCAAGTGACTGTTTTGGGTGTGGCCTCACCCCTGGACTTTGCTGCTCACCAGTCAGCTTATTCAGAAACTGCCTTTGCAAACCTACCTACGCCTGTGACCGCTCCTGAGCTCCGCTCTCCACCACCTGTCCCGGCTCCCAGGGTGAGGCCAGCCAGGGCACAGCCTACCTCCGCACCCGTACCTACTCCTCGGGTGGGAGCGGCTCGTGTCCGGCGGGTGCCTGCACCCATTCCTGTGTCCGCTGAAGTCTCAGACGAGCCTATCCAGCCCCTGTCCTTGTGTTCTGTAGGCTCGGAGATATGTCAGCAACAACTACCACAATCACTACAACCTCTCATTTTTTCCATAGTTCAGTCTGTTGCTCAGTTAGCTCAGTCGTGTGTTCAGGCTTCAGTTTTGTCTCCAGGTCAGGCTTCAGTTTTGTCTCCAGGTCAGGCTTCAGTTTTGTCTCCAGGTCAGGCTTCAGTTTTGTCACCCATGCCGGTCCCCAGGGTGAGGTCAGCCAGGATACAGCCCGTCTCGCACCCGTACCTACTCCTCGGGTGGGAGTGGCTAGTGTCCGGCATGTGCCTGCACCCGTCCCTGTTTCTACTGAGGGCTCAGGAGAATTCAGTCTACAACCCACACCGCCATCACTACTGCATGCCTTTCAGTCATTAGCTCGGTCACTAGCACTGTTAGCGGCCCAGTCCATAGTACACTTTCCTGTGCTTCCGTTAGCTCAGCCCTTAGCCCACTGTGCAGCTCAGTCATTTGCTCCATCACCTGCTCAGCCTTATGTTCAGCCGGTGGTCTCTGCACCTACTGCTCATGCCTCGTCAGCTGGAGGGCCCGAGGAACCCGTCCAGCCTCATGCCTCGTCAGCTGGAGGGCCCGAGGAGCCCGTCCAGCCTCATGCCTCGTCAGCTGGGGGTTCAGGAGAACCGCACCGGCCTCATGCCTCGTCAGCTGGAGGGCCCGAGGAGCCCGTCCAGCCTCATGCCTCGTCAGCTGGGGGTTCAGGAGAACCGCACCAGCCTCATGCCTCGTCAGCTGGAGGGCCCGAGGAGCCCGTCCAGCCTCATGCTTCGGTTTCTGCTTCGCCTGGTCCGGCTTCGGCTTCTGCTTCGCCTGGACCGGCTTCAGCCTCTGCTTCTGCTTTGCCTGGTCCAGCTTCAGCCTGTGCTTCGCCTGGTCCAGCTTCATCCGAGTCTTCATCCTCACCTGGTCCAGCTTCATCCTAGTCTTCATCCTCGTCTGGTCCAGCTTCAGCCTCAGCTTCTGCTTCGCCTGGTCTAGCTTCAGCTTCTGTTCCTGCTTCGCCTCCGCCTGGTCCAGCTTCGGCCTCTACTTCTGCCTCGTCTGGTCCAGCCTCTGCCTGTGCTACGCCTGGTCCAGCCTCAGCTCCTGCTTCGCCTGGTCCAGCCTCTCAGCTCCTGCTTCGCCTGGTCCAGCCTCAGTATCAGCTCCTGCTTCGCCATCGTCAGGTCCAGCATCGGTCTCTGTTCCTGCTTCGCCTCCGCCTGGTCCAGCTTCGGCCTCTGCTTCTGCCTCGTCTGGTCCAGCTTCTGCCTGTGCTTCGCCTGGTCCAGCTTCGACCTCAGTTTCGGCTACGCCTGGTCCTGCTTCGGCTACGCCTGGTCCGGCCTCATCAGAGTCTTCGTCCTCGTCTGGTCCGGCCTCTGCACCTCGGGATTGCCGGCCACTTTCCGAGCCACCAGCTGGACTTCACCGCCGTCGAGGTCGGCCCCCTGAACTGTTTCTACGCCGTTGCCGTCCGCGCGGCCGGCCCCCGGAACTGTTTCCATGTCGCCACCGTTGCCGTCCGCATGGACGGCCCCCGGAACTGTTTGACCATGAACTCCTGTGCCGTCGGCCTCCGGGCCGGCCCCCTGATCAAATGAACTATGGACTTCTGGACCGTCGCCCTCCGGGTCGGCCCCCTGAGGTGTTATGAACTGTTCCCTGCGCTCCTGTGTTTTTGATGGACATTTTGTTTTTGTGGCCTTGTTTCTGGCCCTCCGTCCTGGACCCCCTCCGCCCGCCCTTGGTGGGTTGTTTTTGGTTTTGTTTTTCGGGTTTTGGGGCGTCTGGAATCCGCCCTTGAAGGGGGGGCTCTGTCACGATCCTGGGTCTTAGGACCCAGTGTTTTGAGTTTTAGTTAATCTTAATGTGTATAGTATGTTAAGCTCATTAGGCCTCCTATGTTCATTTGCTTATTAGTTCCCCCTTGTGTTTCCAACCCATGTTAAGTCTCCCCTGCCCTTCATGTCTCTCTGTGCCCCCTCTGTTCTGTTTATTGTGTGTCTTTGCATGTTTGAGTTTCTTGTTTTCTGTCACCCTGCATTGTGCATTATGTTCTCATGGTTGGTCTTTTGTTACTCCCTCTAGTCTAGTCTCTTGTGTTCAAAGCTGAGTATTTCCCTCTGTGTATTTTGGTTCTTAGACCTCTGCCTTATGGTTTGTCTCTGTTTCTTAGTTGCTGTCTCCACTGTCTAGTTCGCGTCTCTGTGTGATACTTCCTGTTTTACTTTGAAGGTCCATGCCTCATGTGAGTGTTTCTAGTTTTGCGTCTCTGTCTCGTCCAGTCCTGATTTCTCCCAGCTGTGCCCTCCTTCTGTGTCTCATTCCCTCGTTATCCCTCTGTGTATTTAAGCCCTGTGTTTCTCTTTGTCAGTGTCGTAGTCTCCCTCATAGCTGTGTGATTTTTCCCTGTGGCTCCTCGTGCTTTAGTCTCCCCAGTTTAAGTTTAGTACTGTTTTTGTGTTTCACC